CGGCCACCCTCTCCCACCATCCACTCCCTCTCTCTCTCGTCCCTTCCCCTTCTTAAGGTGTTTCTCCTTGTTGAGTTGAGGTGTATGATCGACTCGAAGCTTGAATCCTACTTCACATTCGATGGTCAAAGACTCGTGGATCTTCTCAACTTTCCCTCACCGGAGTGATTCAAACCCTTGACGGATCTCTTGAAATTCCAACCTCCCGTACTAGCCGTTGAAGGAACAACTATTGGAAGGTACGTGGTGATCTACGTCGTCTCTCCGAGAAGGTGATTTTCTTCCTTGACTCATTTACTTTCAAATTCTAATTTCTTTGAGAGAATTCGTTCAAAGCAAGAGATTGTGTCTACTTATTGCCATCCATTAGTATTCATAGGAATTGTTACTTCTTTGCTCCTAGACCTCATTGTTATAATTTGGTTATGTTGGAAGCTACTACTTATGCAATGTTTTAATTCTTCTAAGTGTTTTGATGTGGTTTAGTCTCTTTTGTGGCTTAGCCTAAGCGAAAGTAACCGTTTATTTGTTTTACGTTGTTGTTTTAATCGCTAATAACGAAAATCTGAAATTGTTCTTAAGTATTTTGTGCAAGTCTCCGATTTAGCATATAGTTCTACATCATAGCTCTAGCTCATGTGTTAACCTAGATATCATATTGAATTTGTGAAAGTGTGTGGTGGGATTTTCTCTTCTTTTTAATGGAGGTATGTAATTATGGTGATAAGTGGAGTATTTTGGAGAAGGGGAGTATAGTTTTGTTAAGATGACTTTGAGTTTGTGATGCGCCTTGGTATCAAAAACAACCCACGAACAGGATGAGCTCAGCACAAATAGATTTTATTGCTAGGAAAACAAATAACAAGAAATAAGATACAATTGATCATCAATTTGAGAGGATGATCGATCTCTCATAAGTCTCAAGACACTGCTAGAGACCAATCACCATGACACTAAGAAAAACAGAACTCTCACGAATAATAGCATAACCCTACTCTCTCATTTCTCTCTTCTTTAAAGCCTTGACAAACAACATCAGCCCCCAGGATCTCCAATTTAGTCCCCCCCCCCCAATCTTGCCTAAACCAGAATTCTACTTTAGGTAAGGGATCTCCTTCAATCAGCGGCCCCCTTCGCCATGCCAAAACAAGCTTCTCAATTTTAGTCATGGGCCCCATCAATCAGTCGCCCCTCCTCTTGCCTAATCCCTTCTTTCCCTTTCACGTCGTAGGCCCGATGCGCCTGATTTGATAGCTGGGCAAAACAGCTTGCCTGCGTCGACTGTAAAACAGGGGCCAACCCCAGTTCTGGGCCGGCTCAACCGGTCCTTCTTGAACCGGTCTATCAATACCCGGTTCCCAAAGAACCACCTCGTCCTCAAGGTCGAAGGCTGCAAACTGCTTTTGCATCCTATCATAAGGTTCCCATGTAGCATCATACTTGGGAAGGTCCTTCCATTTGATCAACACTTATTTTATTCCTCCCTGTCGTTCCCCTTGCAGCTCCATTGGATCTAGTACCACTTCCAAATCTTCAGTTAGTGTTGCTAGCAACAATGGGCTTGTTGTGTGATCCCTTATAGCTCTTTTCAATTTTGACTTGTGTAAAATCGGATGTATGGTCGAGGTCGACAATAGCTTTAACCGATATGCCACTGCTCCGATCCTCTCTTCTATCTCAAACAGGCCAAAGTATCGCGGGGCCAACTTCTCATTCCTTCTATTGGCCACGATCTGCTGTCAGTTGGGGTGAAGCCTCAAATACACCCTATCTCCTACCTGAAAGGCTGAAACTGGATGTTCTTTCTGTGCTCATCTACCTGTCTTTTCATAATTTGTTGGGCTCTCAATAGATGTCTTTTCAGTTCTTCTAATATCTTGTCTCTCTCTTCTAGGTATTATTCCATTGAAAAGACTGATGTGCTATTCTGCCCAAAGTGTACCAAGTGAGGTGGATTCCTGTCATACAATATTTTGAACGGAGTCATCTGGGATGCTGAATGGTACAAAGTGTTGTACCAATATTCTACCCATGCCATCCACTTAGCCCATAGTCGAGGTGTCTCTGAAGCAAAACATCTAAGGTATGTCTCCAAATTCCTATTGATTACCTTTGTCCGCCCATCAGTCTGAGAGTGGTAAGCGGTGCTCCTTCCTTTTCAACACAGTCCCCTATAACTTGAACAACTCCCTTCAAAAATGACTAAGGAGCACTTTGTCTCGATCGGACACTATAGATTCTGGTATTCCGTGCAATCTGGCCACCTCTCTAATAAAAACTAACGCTACCATGACAACTGTGCAAGGATATCTGAGAGGAATAAAATGAGCATATTTGTTGAGTATGTTCACCACCACCAAAATAACTGTAAACTCCTTCAATCAAGTTAGCCCATTTACGAAATTTATAGAGATCTTCTCCCATACCCTGTCTAGAAGGGCCAATTGTTGCAGTAGCCCCTTTGGAGCCATAGCCATATACTTGTTCCTCTAGCAAATCTCACACCTGGCCACCATCTCCTTCACATCCTTGTGCATCCCCTTCCAATATAATTCAGCAACCAATCTTTTTTATGTCTTTTGTACTACTGAGTGACTCCCAACCGTGCTTTCATGGAACTCCTGTAGTAAGTATGGGATATGAACGGAGGTTCATGGTAGCACAAACCTCCCTTAGTATAGAAGTCTCTCACCATCAACTGTATAGTCAGGATGGTTATTCCCATCCTTCAACAGATCCTCTTTAATTCTCCTAAGTTCCTTGTCCTGCGCACTTTCCTCCTTAATAGAACTCCCCCCAGCACCCCCCCCCCCCCCCAACACACACACACACATGGGTCCAAAATCAAACAGTATCGAAAGGGGTAACCCCTGAAGCTCCCCCCATACCTAGACAGGCATCAATTGCCTTATTTTCTTGTCCTGCCTGTACTGGATCTCAAAATCATAGCCCAGTAATTTTGACAGCCATCTATGATGCTCCCCGGTCACCATCCTCTGCTCCAATAAGTACTTCAAGCTCCGTTGATCTTTCTTGATGATGAAATGCTGACCCAGCAAGTAAGGTCATCATTTCTGAATGGCCAATACAATGGCTATCAATTCCTTCTCATAGACGGACTTCAATCTTGCTCTGACTATCAACACCTGTTTGTGAGTTTGCATGAGCACTGCTCCGAGCCCATATCCTGAGGCATCAGTCTCCACCACGAACATTTGGCTGAAATCGGGTAGTGCTAGGTTCGAAACCGTATTTATGGCAATTTTCAATCTCTTGAAGGCCTGAGTAGCTCTCTCCCCACAAAAAACTGTCGTCCTTCAACTGATTTGTCAGAGGCCAAGCAATGGTGTTGTATTCCCTTACAAACCTCCTCTAGATCCTATCAATCCTAGGAAACCCCTTAGTTTTCTCAAATTCCTAGTAGAGGCCACCTTAGCAGTGTACAAACAAGGCTTTGTTGGTGTAGGCTTGTCCTGCATTAATGAGAACCAAGGGGGGTTAGCTAGAACACATTTGCTATGGTGTATCACTATTGGAGGAGTTATATTAACAAAAAGTATTTGATTATTGTTTAGGGGGAGCTCTTTGTGAGTTTTAAGTAGGTTCAATGCGTGTTGTAATGGGTTTGGAGGTTCAATAGTGATTGTTCGCATAGTTGAAGAAGAGGGTATGATAAGATATCGTAGAAGAATGGCTTATTAGGAAGGCTTCATAAGTGGTGTGGTGGGAATTTTTGTGGGATTGCTATAGATTACTATAGGATTTTGATGAAGGAGCCAAAGCACGAAGAGGACTGAGAATTAACTGATTCAATTTATCATTCATTTTTTGAATCAGGTAGGCAAGGATAAAGTCAAATGGATGAGGGTAAATGTAATGTAGACTATGACTGTAGGAATTTGATGATGAACGGTGGTAAGTGCTTCTTGTAGAGTAAATTTGATTGATCGAAGAAAGATTAAACCTAGCATTTATAGCACAATTGATGGAGAGGAAGACAAAAAGAACTTCACATACACAACTTTGAGCTATCTACTTACGTAGATCGAACCTAAGGGGAACTTGGTTGACCTCACAAATAATCAAATTTTATTCATCAATGTTCAATCTAGATACTAGCCATTGTTCCCTATTTATATAAATAGGGTTAAATGGATAAAGTCAAATAATTTAAATCAAACTGAAAACCTCATTGGAATTTAAATCAAATTCTTACAAAAAATTCAAATTTAAAGCTAATTTTATCCATGGATGATAATTAAACCTAATATAATAAATCAACTAAAAACCATGAAAATTCAACCAAAAATAAAAACAGGATGAATTATCCTTTTTGACTCCTTGTAATTGGCTTTTGGCCAATTAGTTCAATTGGGCTTTTGTGAGCCTATTTGACCATATGAGTGGCCTATACTACATCATCTTTGTGAGTTCTTCAGGTTATCAAGTCTTACCTACATTCAATTGCTATCATCTTCAGAATTACCCATCTTTTTTTAGTTTTTTAGCTGATGAAGGTCTGATCTGCTTGCTTTTTTAATTATCTTTGATTTCCCCTTCTTCATTATTATGCTAACCTACATAAGGCCATGTCTTTCAAGATGTATTGTATCATAACTGCCTCCTTACTCGTAGCCCTTGCTGTCTGATCTGAAGTTTGAAACACAAAGATGCAATTTTATGTTTCGTTTGTGACAGTTTTTTTTGTGCTTCTTAAAACAGTTTTGTAATACAAAAATTAAAATTTTTATACTAAAAAACTGCTTTAAGAAGCAGTAAGAAAGCCATCCCAAATGAAGCCTTAGTCCAATATACATTTATTGGTGGTCGTAAGGGATCTGTTAGTTATTTTCATTAGTTAATATATGTTAATCGTTTATGCTATGAGAGCCATTCCATATGTTTTCTAGAGGATGCTTTATGCTTCATGTGTAATCTGCATTTATTTAGTTGTAAATTGGAATATAGTATCAGAATATTGATTAATTTCTTTTAAATAGGTGATTTGGATGAACAATATATGGGTTACGAGCGATGGCTGCCTCCTGCTCCCAAAGTGAAAAAACCACGCTCCATTTACAATGCAGCAAGTTTAGCATATATTGGAGATTGCATATATGAGGTAGAATTTCCTTCTATATGTGTTTAAAATTAGAATAAAAAAAACATTGATATCTTTTTTCAAAGAGAGTTACATCAGTAAATCTAAAATGCTTAGCTTAGATCTATTATGCAAAAATATGGAAGTTTGTTAGTTAAAAAATAGAGAAGTGCCTTAACATTACCTTGTAGTAGCAGAAACATATGGAGATTTAAAGGTATATTTATGTAAATACAATTAGACCGCCTATACTTTATGAATCAAAATGTTGGGAAATAAAGAAGTCATTGAAAATCAATTAGAATGTCTTATAAAAGAGAATGGTGCAATATTCGAATCTAGGACCTCTTAGTTACATAACCATGCTATCTACACTGCTTCGTTTTATTTTGTTAATGCTTTCCGACTTTAAATTCTGCTGCCTTATATAAATTCCTTGGACATTTTCTAAAATGCTATTTGTGTTTATATTGCATGAGTCCTTTTATTTAGATGATTTTCTTGAATCATCCAATCAGTCAGTCTTAATTATTTCTCATATATTTTATCTGACTGTGTGATACATATTTTCCAAACATTTGATACATTTGTTTCATCTGTGTTTAACTTTGCAGCTCTATGCTAGGAGGCACTTCTTGTTTCCCCCTCTAAGCATCAATGATTTCAATGAGCGTGTAATGAAAGTAGTGCGATGTGAATCACAGGTATCCACTTGTGTAAAATCAGAAGCTTTAGGCTTCGTTTGGGACCAAAAAATTTTTGTGCTAGAAAGCTGCTTTAAGAAGCAACAAGAAAGCCATCCCAAATGAAGCCTTAGTCATAGACATGTTATGTGTGTTAACTCTAGAACTTATTTTGGACGTTGCACGATCTTTTCTCTTAATACTGATTTTAGAACTTTATTTACTATGATAAGCGATATGGTCGGCATCTTACGCGATATAGGAGATGGGACTTATCAAGTCTGTAATTTGTGTTTTAAGCAACACTCAAGATAAATCGTTTTGTTTTTCTTTATTCTATTGAATACTTATTTAAGGAATCATTATCATTTTGAACCTCTTACCCTGAAATAGCTTCTCACCATTGTTAGCAATCCTCTCTTTTAATTTGCTTAAGTGTGATCTGTATCTGGTGCTGAACTTTGCTGATATTTCATGCACTGATAATTCCTCCTGATTCCTTTATCATTAGTTCCATCCTATATAGTATGATAGGTACTTTTCTAATAAAACACTGAAGCTGATATCAAACACATTAGCAGATACTCAGATAATCTATGAATGGAATTATTATATAATGCATGTATGAGTATATGACCTTATTCGGTTGAAACCTCGTTTCTTTTCGTTTGTGTCTCTGACACACCTGTATGCTATATGAATTCTCTCAGCATAATCCATGACCGCGGATATGTTTTCCATGTTCTAGGATTTGCTGTTGAAGAAGCTCCTTGCGGAGGATTACTTGACAGAAGAAGAAAGGTTAAACCAACGAATGCTCTTTACTAAGGCTTCGTTTGGGACGGTTTTTTTGTTGTTTTCTAAAACAACTTTATAGTACAAACATTATTTGAATTAGAAAATTTTATACTAAAAAGTCGTTTTAGGAAGCATAATGAAAGCTGTCCTAAACAAAGCCTAAGTTTTACAGTAAATGGTGGTTGATTGTGTAGTATATAGTATTTTGTTTTGGTTTATAGAATGTGGAAGTGGATTTTGTGTAGTAAATTTCCCTTGATCTCCTCTAATTATGCATTTGTACAGGGATGTGCTGCGCTGGGGTAAAAACAAAAGCAGCAACAAAACAAAAACTACTAAAAGGGTTGGTGTAGCCATTTACAACAGCGCATCATCTCTAGAAACACTAGTAAGTTGCAGTTACAATATCTTTGAATTGTATTGCCTGCCCAGCTGGGTTGCAAAACTAAGACTTACACTTCAATTTTCTATTTTCATTACTCTCCTTCAGATTGGATATCTCTACCTGACTGATGTTAAACGCCTGGAAGACCTAATGTATAAGCTAGGATTCTCTACTGATGCTTCTTCAAAAGATGTTGTGGATGAGCTACGTACAAATTTCATGTGATAAGCTGTTAGACCAGCCCAGGCGGAACCGAGGCGGAGACGTCCGTCGCTTTCGGTAGCCGACCGCATCGCAAGCACCAACCGGCTAATTTAGAAAGGATTTTTGAGAAAGTTTAGGAGAGTTTTTGAATGTAAGGTCTATTTAGAGATTTCTTTTTGATTTGTAACATTAAATACTTTGTTTTTCTAGGATTAGAGCATCTTGAATTAGTTGAAATTTGAGATCTCTTAGAATTAGGTTTTCTTTTGGGCTCTAGAGGCGTCTAGAGATTTGGGAGAGATCGATCCTCCTCTCGAATAGAGGATCAATTGTATCTTGTTATTTTCCGTTTCCCTTTCATCAAATAATACAAGTTATCTACTGTTTTTGGTGGATTTGTGCGGATTTTAGTGGGGAATTCTCGCTGTTTTTCAAAGATTGATAGGAAATACATGAGATCTACTAGTGTTTCCTATCAAAAGCTTGATATGTGACTCTAATTAAACTCCACTTGCACAGTTTTGCTAGTTGGATCCTCCTTTAAACTTCTGAACTAAGTGATTTTAGGTAAACTAGTGATGATGAAAACTATGGGAGCTTTCCAATTTGCACAACAGAGTCACAGAAGAAGCATAGAAGAGTAAATTGAATGGCACAGAAGATGAACAGCTCCTTGTTTCTTGCTTGGTAGCCTGGAGCTACTTGTTGCAGATCTTATGATGGACAAAGAAGGGAGATGCTCTACTTATGTTCATGGAGAATTATAAAATGTATGTGAGAACTGTTCCTTCCCAATATTGTCTAAGCTGTGTTAATTCAACTATTAGTTTGGAATTTGTTTCTTTCCATATTCATAGTTGTTTTTTATATTATAAATATTCTGTCAAAACTTTGCTTGAAATATCTGTTCGGAGGTTTGGCTCCCTTGTTTATTCATGAGATATCAAATGGGCTGGGCTGGGCTGGTCCATGAGCCTGCCCATAATTTGGGTCTTTGAAACTGAAACTTGAAAGCCTTTTCTGATGGAGAGATTATTACGTGCAGAGATCGGACATAAAGAATCGTTCGATTTTATCTCTATGAATAGTAAAAGCATAGTTACTATTCATTACTGTGCTTTTATTGTTCACCATTATGTTTTTACTATTCACAAAGACAACTGGACAATTCTGTGTCCAGTCTCCACACGTAATAATTTTTCGAGTGTCCCTAAACGCATATGAGCATAAGATGGCAAAACAATGCTAATGGATCAACCAATATTCATGTATTAAATATATTTAAATTTAATACTTTTAAGTTTATTTATATTATATGTTGATAAATCTATTGTTAGCTTAGAGGCCATTTGGAATCATTAATATTTATATTTTTAATTTTATTTTTGGTTTGCCAATTTTTTTTTTAAACATTTACATTCTAATATGAAACAAATATTTTTATGAATTTATTAGTTTCATACAACAATATTAAACTTTTATTCTACTATATGGCATGGGCCACTATTATTATTATTATTATTTTTAATAACATGATATACCAATATGCTAAATTTACTTATGAATTTAGTATTTTCATAAATAAAAAATAAAATAATAAGTTTATCTTGTTCATTCTTTTCAGCATATAATGTATTTGGAAAATGAAATATGAGAAAAATAAAATAAAATAATTAAATTTAAAATGAAATTATATGTACAAGCATGCTAAAAATAAAATAAGTAGATTAGTTGAAATGCATGATGCTAATGATAATTAACATTAATAAAGATTGACATAAAAATAAAAATATAGATTATCATTGAGAACATTTAATTTATAATGTAAGATGCAACTAAAGTTTGCTGAACATCTTAAAAAATAGTGATATAATATTTAATCAAAAAGTTGAGTATTTAATCAAATCAAGATAGAAATAGTCTAACACTACATAATCACAAAGCATCAAAAACTCTTTTAATCCTTAGATAAATAAGAGAACAACATATATATATAAGACAGAACTGTTGATGACTAAGGCTTCATTTGAGATAGCATTTGATTTTATTTGTTTTTACTATTTTTAAGAATTTTTTGTTCGTAAGAAAGAAATAAGAAATTCGTCACAAAGAAGACTATATTTTATTACGAGCATAACTTCAAAAAAATTTTGTAACACAAAAACAAAAGTGAGCCAATGTTTGCATGTGAGATGGATTAATACTAATATCAATGACACTGTTTGATGACCTAGATGACAGATCTTCCTTTTGTACCAACTATAAGATACTTATTTTCATAAATATGAAATAATCTATCTTTTCTATATCATGATCTTATAAAGTTATATTATCTACAATAAGTACTTACAATATATCATAATGCCTACAAATTATAAGGAGACACCTTGTTAAAAATTTCAAATTTTATTTTCAGATCTTCTAAGCTTCACAAAAATATTTCTTCCAGAAGAATGGTTAGAGTTTAAAAGATCTTCTTGCTTGTGGCTACATGTTTTCATGATAATTACATACAAGACATCTTGACTCTTTATGATAACAAAAAAAACCTAGCATCTTGGTATATCTACATGTTTTTTTAAGGCGTATCATTTCGGTCTCCTGCAAGGCGCTCTGCTAGGGTTTTCTCCCTAGCAGCCACGCTCGCCTTTCTCGTCTTTGACCTCTCTTATGGCCTCCTTGCTTTGGGATTTCTTTCTTCTGTCGGTCGTTTTGTTGCTTAGATGGCGCTCAATCGGCTAGATGATCGTGGTTTTCTTGATGGAATGAATTCTTTCCGCTTATTTCTTGAAGCCTTGTTGGGCTTCTTCATCCTTATGAATTTCCCGACTTCAAAGCAACGACTCATCGAGGGTTGTCGTGTTTGTGGATTTTCGAAGCTGAAATTTCAGCTCTTGGCAAACCTTTCGAATTTGATATCAAGGAGCTCCAAGCAAGTAATAAAGTTAAAGCTTCTATAATTTGATAAAATATGAGTCTATGGAGGTTGAATCTGATGGAGTGAGTGTGATCAATGCTTGAGATCGTTTTTATGTTTTATTTCCTTTGCCATATTTTGTAAGAAATAAAAACATATATTTTGTACTTATTGAAAGAAATGTGAATGAATATTTGTGTTATAATTGTGCCTTTTTTTAGTGGGATTGATATGCTGTCGAGCCTAGTGAATCTCTCAAAGCTGTTGAGCTGAGTTATCACATTGAATGTTGAAATGTAAGCAATTGAATGATATCCATTAAATATGCAAGTAATTAAATGATATCCTTCCCAAGCCTTACTCAATCACTATTTATTGCTAGTTTATTTTAAAACACTTTTTTTTTAGGGGGGGGGGGGATCTCCAATTCTGGGGATATACTTTTTCTATTTTAAGGATGCATAAAAGAAGTTAAGATGTGATGTTTAAGGGCAAGTGAGTATCTAAATAGAAAGGTTGAGTTGAAAGATTCCTATATTAGCATTTTTAAGAAAGAAAGAGGTATCAGACTTTTAATTTCATTGTATATTACTTTCCTTACGAGGGGAGACTTGTGATAAAAAATAAAGAATGCAACTTTGTTTAGCGTAGACGATTCAACTACCTAGGGGCCTTGGCTCTTTTACCGTGAGTAGTCTAGCTACTTACATGCTTTCCCTTGGTCAATATCACATTAATCCCTAAACTCAAGTTAGTCTACCTTTATAATGTTAACTATGTGCTCGTAAGTTAGGTTAAATTATCTTCCAACATTGCACTCGACACTTGCCTAAGTTTGAAGTTTGCCAACTTCAAGCCCATGTTCTCAAGCAAGACCAAGCTTTTATTCTGCATTTTTCTCTATTCTTTGTTATGTATTTCATTAAATACATCAAAAGAGGTGGGTTCCCCGAGTGTTACTAAGAAAAAAACAAGTTGCTTGAGTATCATTAAGGGAAGAGGTGAGTTCCATGAGCTATTGATGAGTTAAAATTGAGAAGTCCTTGGAATAAGATCCACTCGCCTCTTATGGCATCGAATCTGTTAGGTACCTAATAGGACTCACTGAATTTAAGGAAGCATTTTATTTAACTCAATTTTGCTTTGCATAATAAACATTTTTTATCTTACTTTTTCTCAATACATTGAAGGGTCGCAAGTGAAATAAAATTTTAATTAGAAAAATTAAAACATAGTGAAATCATCTCCTTTTCATGGATAAAAAGACTTTAAGTCATTTTGCTCCAAAATTTTGGCACCTCCTTTCTTGTGTGTATTTGTAGTTGGTAAAATCCAAATTTAACTTGCTTTCTAATAATGTAAGTGCTCACATGCTGAGCCTAATTTGCCAAGTGCTGATTGTCGAGTCACAAAGTTTCCCTAGCTTAGTGTCTTCTCTTTCACAATAAAGTTGTAGTATCTTGTCATCCTTCTATTCACCATCACTTGCCTCATTGATTCTTAGAATTAGAGTTCTTCCAAGAAGTTTAATAATGCCTCCATGCTATAAGTATCCAAAAATGCCCCTTTAGCCTTATATTTATTGAGTTTTGAGCACTACAAGAGAAGGTATATCTTAACCTTATAAATAATGGATATAAAATAACATGACAAAACAATTATATACGCATGGATGCAAGGGATATACTTTTTTACTTTAAAAGGGTATAAAAGGAGTTAAGATGTGATGTTTGAGGTTTGTCAAGTGAGTAGGATCATTTTTTGAGCAATTTGAGGTTATTTCCTGAAAGAAAAGGGCAAGTGAATATCTAAATATAAAGGGCGGGTTGCAAGAATCCTATATTAACTTTTTTTAAGAAAATAAAGATGTGCTAGCCTTTAAATTTCATTTTTTTAACTTATGCATTTTTGTTATTTTAGTGAAATTAAATGAATGTGATAAATTGACAAGTAAACTTCCTATTTAATCTGTTTAAATGGATTTTATTATTTATTTATGTTGACCTGCTAATGAAACAAAAAACTGCCTTCCAAAAAATTTACCTCGGAACTTAGTTCGTTAAAACTCCCTCGCCGAATAAGAAAAGCGAGTGTAGGCCGAGGCCGAATTTTCGGAGCCCACAATTTAAAAATTAAACTTGGATTTATGTCCATTTGACGATTACTTGATTTATGATTTACGTTATTAAGTGAATAATCCTTAAATAATTAAAGTTTTATATTATAATAATTTACAAAGGGATGTGAACTAAGTTTAGAAAATCAAATCTAAAACGCCCTTAAAGCAAACGCAAGCGCCAAACATGCAGTTGATGGGTTCAGGTATGTTGTAACTAACAAAACAATAGTAACTTGCAATTTAAATTTAATTGTAAATTGCATAATAAAATAAAGATAGGAGTTTCTACATGGTCCTAAGGTTGGAAAAGTGCAAAAACACATCATAAGGCTTATAAGACCTAGGACTATCTAAGTGTTAGAATACTAATTACACATAAACCAATGTCCAGCGATAACGGCTTGTAGCACCTCCATTGAGAAGCATTGGAGACGACCAAAATCCTTTAGCTCCATATACTTATTATACAAATGATCGTCATTGCCACTCGTAAATAACATAAAGAGGCATATGTAATAACTAAATATACTAAAAAGTCTGCATTTTATGAGCATATAAATGAAATAAACATACATGATGAAATTAATGAACGAATGCATGCAAGTATGCAACATAAGCATTGCTTGTGGTATTGTGTATGTTTACATTTTATTTTTAAATCCATAATCAAAATATAAAAAGGAAAATTTAATGGTTATTTGAAACATGATTAATGGAAAGTATGATTCTCTAAAGAGTGTGATTCCCAATAGTTTATATTTTTACAGATGATTTTTTGCAAAAATAGATGCTAACACCAAAATAACTTATAATCTTGAACAAATTGATAGGTTCATGTGAACAAGATCTAAACTTCAATCATAATTAATTAAATACAATAATGCCGATAATATATATATATATATATATATGTCAATTGCATGCATGATTAGAAGTTTATATTGAAATATTTTCATAATTATGTTTAGAAAAATCAAATTATTTCAAAATAGATTGGAAGAGACATTTCAGCAATATACAGATTTACCTATGTGTGTTAGCAATGAAATAGGCTTCCAGGTAATCATTAGCTATGAACATTAATAAATCTATATAAAATAAATTGACTTGGAGAGTGTACCTACCTTCATTATATTTGAACAGGATTCAAGCCTGTCTCTTTCTATATAGTATGGCTGGAAAAGGAGAGTAGGGGTCTCACGCAAGAACGAATGGGACATTGCTGGAGATCGGCGTCCTTTTGATCGTGTGAAACATGCCATAAAAAACGTCTCCCTCTTCGTTTGAAATTCGATAGATTGACGGGAGAACCGATCATTTTAACTTTAATTTAGATAAATTCGTAGGCTAAATTTTAATTAATTAATTTACAAAAGATATAGAGAGTAGATTTTAATGAAATTTGTATGTTAATTAAAAGAAATTAGTTGAAATTTTAATGTAGACTGGTTCGAATCAATTTAATTAATTTAATTAATGTCAATTTGGTTTCAATTGGCTTGCAATGAGTCAATTTAGATTAATCAGAGCTACCATCATTCAAATCGAACTTTGTTAGAGTCAATTTGACTCGATATCATGTTGATTTGCATCGACGTGCTTCGATCAACGCCAGTTGACTTTGATTGCTTCGAGACAAGCTGATTTAATTTGAATTGTGTTTAATTTGGATAATTTTGGTTTAATTAAAGTTGATTTGATAAAATGAAACTCGATTAGTGCCCAATTTGTTCTATTTAACATAAATTTGGTTCAAAGTAACTCGTTCTTCCTAGCCTAGCATAGACATGCTCGCTGGTAAGATTTCCCCTAGGTGGATACTGGACAACATAACCCTAGCTCGGCCCTTCAATTCGACTCAAATCAAACCCTGTTAACCCTTTCGTTTAGATCGAGTCGATATCAAATCGATCAAAATGGATTTAATTCGGAACAAACTGGCATAAGCAAACCTTGTTGACTAGATTTGATTCGACTATAACCCAAATTGAAATTGATATCTTCGATCGACGTCAGCTAAATCGAGGAATCATCTCAAGGAAATCGACCTCATACAAAAAATGAGGCGAACAACATCTTATATTGATGCACATTTAATTAGATGTGATTGTGTTGCCAAAGTTAGACAAAGTCCAATAAGTCATGAATTCTTTTGATGTACTCATTAAATTGCTTGCTATACAATAACTATTACAATTTTTTAAATAATTTTTATTATGCTCCATCTGTTCCTAGTCTTCAAAATTTTTCATGCTCACCCACCAAATTTTCATCCCCCAATTATTATGATAAGTACAAAGAATGAAGTCATCATCCAATACGTTTTGGATGATAGACATTTACTATCTTAAATGAATATGATTAAATTTAGTTAATTTGTAAATTATGATCTCATGAGAAAGTACATAGTTTGATATCATATTTTCCACACATTTTCAGCTGGTTTGGTGGCTATATTGAAGACCGCTTTGATCAAGCCAGTGTTGTTCAACAAAATCATGACATAATTTGGCTGCTACAACTAATGAAAGGAAGTAGGAGAGCTACAAAGAGAAATAGAAGAAGAAGAAGAAGAAGAAGAAGAACAATAAAGTGGCTTAAGGAGGAAGCAAGCCATTGAATATGTGTTAACTTATGAATTTGATCAAAAAAAGAAGAGGAACAATAAAATGGCTTAAGAAGAAATCACAGAACAAGAGAACATAGTAGCATTGCAATAAAACATCAATGCAAAATTAAATAAAAAGAAAGAATAATTCACCTCTGAAATAGAAGCACAAAGTTAGAAGCAGGTAATCCTCTCATGTTCAACTGCAGAATCTGAAAAATCCAAAAGTAATAGAAGAAATATTTTTATGTAATTTTTGTAAAGGTTAGTGGAATTATTTGGTTTCTGAACATTCATATTATTCTAACATAAAAACATTTCCATAGTAACATACATCAATATTGTTGCTTTACAAGCTTGCCTGATAAGGATATATCATAAAGGAAAAATGACCTTACCTGCATCCATTCAGATCTCACCAACTCCACCGGCACGAAAATAAATGGAGGAGCAAAAACCGCAGATGTAGATGGTAGTTGAGGACCATCTTAATTGTGAGAATAGGCCCAACCAGCCTATATATATATATATATATATGGATATGTATTGTCATGGTCACCTATTCTTAAGCAGAGCGATATCTTCTTTCTTTACTCACAACACCTCTTCACCATTGAAGTTAAAAATCATGGCTAAAAAGCTTGAAATTGAAGTGGAAGTAAGTTCACCTGCTGACAAATTCTGGGAAAGCATCAGAGATTCAACAGATCTGTTCCCCAAGATCTTTCCTCAGCAATACCAGAGCATCCAAGTAATAGAGGGAGATGGGAAGAGCGTTGGTTCTATACGTGCTCTCCATTATGCAGAAGGTATAAATATAAAGATCTAAATCGTTGCTTGGTAGCCGGAAATACGGTAAATCCTGCCGTCGACCATGTTAACCCTAAAATAGTTTTAAATCTCGTTTCTCCGTTTTGCGTTAAATCCCAGATTTAGTAAATCCAGATATTAGGCGGATTTGATTTACTTGAAGCCAGAAATCTTATGAACTCCTCTTCTTCATCACGCTCCACTGATACAGTCGATGCTTTTGCAGCTAGCTCCCATCGCGACTTGCAGGCTTTTTTGCCGTCGAAGGGTATCGGGAATTTGAGGACGAAGAGGAGGGTTCGAATTTAAAAACTATTCATTTCAAAATAATAATATTTTAATATAATTTTATTAAATATAATTTACAATGTTTTATTAATTTCATAAATTGTTAATTAAGATCTCATTATAATTTAGTATATATAATTAGAATTGATAAAGAGTTTTATTAATTTGAATTATTAATATTAAATAAAATAGTTAAATATATGTGTTTATCAACTAATTAAATTAAATATTTTATTTTTTTAAATAATTTAATATTATTTTATTTATTTATGATTTATTTTTTTTCAAATATAAGTTATCGTTTAAATTGCTAAATAAATTATTAGTTGAGATATTTAATTAAAATTAATTATCTAATTAATTGTTAGTATTGGAAAACTTTCTTACAACTTTGTTATTCAGATCGAAACTACAGTTTTGTTTGGCTAATATTTTTTTGCTACTTTCTCTCTGCTTTTTTGAAATTTATATGATAGGATGTTATTTTTATCGTAAGAGTTACTCGCATATGATAGCTTTAAGAATCAAGTTAAAAGAAAATTATATATGTATAATATCCATAGTATCTTTCAGAAATATTTATTTTCCCACAACAACAACTATCTTTATAAAATAATGTAGCTATCCCAAACATATCCTAAATTTAATGTGAGCAAAATAAATAAATATAATAAGATGCTTTAATTATATAAACTATTAAATGAATCTTAAAACAATTAGATTCATCACTTATCATACCAAACAATTTTTAAATTTTAACTTATGGTATATCCATTAAATTCGAATTTATAGGATTTACTGAGGCTTCATTTGAGACATTTTTCTAATTATTTTCTAAAGCAGATTTTTAGCACAAATATTTCTTAAAATTAGTGAAAAATTGAGTTAAAAACTGTCTCAAATGAAGCCCGACTCTAATTTTGATTTCATTTGGGACAGTTTTTTACTGTTTTTTAAAACAACTTTTTAATACAAAAAATTCTTGAATTATAACTTTTTAGCTAGAAAGTTGTTTTAAAAAATAGTAAAAAAACAGCCCCAAACCCAAACTACTCTAACTACAACATGAGCTTAATTAAGCTTTAGATAAGACATGGTAAAACGCCATTAATATGCTTGCAGGAATTCCGTTCGTCAAGTTTGCAAAGGAGAAGATTGAGGTCGATGATGATGCCAACAAGCTAGTCTCGTACAGTGTGATCGAAGGGGACATACTGAACTACTATACAAGCTTCAGGCCAACTCTTCAGGTTTTATCCAAAGGAGATGGGGCTGTGGTAAAGTGGAATGTGGAGTATGTGAAGCTGAATGAAGAAGTTCCTGACCCTGAGCTTATTCAAGCAATGGCAACTCAAACTTTTAAAGAACTGGACGCATATCTGCTCAAGAACTAGAAGGAACTGCTCGATCTCATCTTCGATCTTAAGAAAATCATTTGTATGAATAAGAGTGGAAGGTTTTATGTGTAATATGGTGTTCTGATGGAGTTGTCTGTTGGTGATTTGCTCTGAACTTGCCCTTTCAATATCTCATTCTATTAATAAATTATGTTTGCATGATACCCATCAACTTCGGCTTCGTTTGAGACAGCTTTCATATTGTTTTCTCAAGTAACTTTTTAGTATAAATTTTTTTTTATTGAAGAAATTTTTATACTAGAAAACAGCTTTAAGGGGCTCTTTGGTATTGGTTTGGATTTAACTTTAGTGGGATTTAATAAATCCTGTAAGTCTGAATTTTGTAAATAGTGAGGGTGTTAAATCCTGAAAACTATTTGACATGACATATGTTAAATCTTGAGAAGTTGTTTGGCAAACAAATCTAGGATTTAACGCAATTGGTTCATTTAAAAATTAAATTTAATATGTTTGAATTTAATTTTCATGTTCACTATGGAACTGTTTGAAAATTAGTAATACAATAAGTAATTTGATAATTAACACCTAAATAATTAATTTGATAATTAGTAATAATTAAGCAAACTTCTAATTATATTATTTATCATTATAACTTATTAAAGATAATTAAAAATAAAGTTAATAACTTATAATGATAAATTATTAATTAATTTGTTAATGTTTTGAAATTATAAATTATTTAATTAATACTCATATTAATGATTTAATTAAATATGTAAATATTAAATTAATTTAATGACAATTATATGACTAATATTTATAATAACTAACAAATTACAGATATTAATTGAACTTCTTTAATGATAATTATACTACTAATTATTTATTTAAACTAAATTAGCTTACTTAATTATACTACTAATTATTTAAGTAATATAATTAATTTTTAAGTTTAAATTATATTAATAATGTTAACTTAGGTTAATTTATAATTTGGCAGGGCATCTGAGGTTACTTCGTCGCTTTTCCTCATAGCCAATTCTTCGTGGTTGTTTGGGCTTCTCGTACTATGTTCTTTGCACGACGGGAGCTCACTCGTTGCTTCGTGTCCTTCTAAGGCATCGGATCGGTGGTCATGATGGAAGCTATTCTGCTTCCTGTCGGATCAGAGTTCTCCATGAAGGTAATTATATTTCTCCCCCTATGCAACGACGAACTCTAGAGAGCTCGCGTGAGTGTAAATCCTAGCCTGTTAAACCCGCTGAATTATGGGATTTAGTAAATCCCAGATTTATGCAAGCATCAGATTTAGATGACATTTGAAAACTATTTGGCTAAATTTATCTTCCCAGCATAAAATCGATACCAAACAACCCCTAAAAGTTATTAAAAAAAAAGCTGTCCCAAACGAAACCTTCATCCATGATATATTTTGTTGGTTACCATCAAATTTATCAAAGAGTTGTAACTCAAATGATGTGTATTCTAACTGTCAACATTGAGATCATAAGTGCAAATTCGAAATGAGATGTTTTTTAACTACTATAACAAAAACTATTTATCTATGTAGGCACATAAACGTGCCTAAAGGGCAATTTGGATGGCTGAAAAAAGGAATGCATTGTAAAAGAAATATTTTAATGTTGTTTGGATAAGTACTACATATACAATTTTATGTATCACAATCAGTTGTTGTAATGACACAGTTAAATGACCTTTAATGACTTTTGGAGGCACTTAGATGCAATTCACTTAATAATTATTGATATTTCAAAAAAAATTGCCTTGATCAAGCACGTAGATCGATGTGCACCCAGGTTGAAAACTTCTAAATTGGATCATCCAAACTTCAATTTTAGCAAGTTTATAGTCAAATTGAACATCTCGAGAGACAAACCTAAGGACACCAAATTCAGTGCAATCTGAGCCCAAATCGAAGGACCAAAGTACACTTGGAAGCTTCAAAACATTAATTAAATGACCAAATGATATTCAAATATGACATGTTTATAATCGAATCAAGCAGCTCGATGAGTCAAATCAAATGAACCCATGATCATTGAATTTTGACATCATTAAGGCACTTATATGCTCAATAAATAATATATAATCAAGAGAATCACTATGAGTTATCTGATATAATACTCCAAATCTACCCTAGATCTTTTTCATATTAACTAAGGATGTCACTCCCCAAAAAACTATAAACAGACCCCCATTCTTCACTTGAAAGGGGAGAGGGATGAGGAAGAAGAGAAGCTCTAGGGCTTGAAGAATATTTAGAGCTCCACCTAGGCACCACAGTTGACAAATATGCTCCACCAGACCACCAAAGTTGAATCTCCTCCATACTCTCATCATCAAACCTTCATTTAGCAACCATTGACAAGCCTTCCTCTAATCATTATCACCCACCTACAATAGTCCTTTTAACCTACGTCTTTTGCTGACTACGATCTCTCCGGCCACCGACCCTCGACTACGGTGCTTCCAACCTCCATCGCCATCTAACTACGGTCTCTCCGACCATTCGCCCAACTACAGTCATACTGACCTCCTTCGCCCACTGAATATGATCCCTCAGACGACCGTTACCCTGTGGACCTTAAAAAGGACACCGCTCGGTGGGGACATAATGCAAAGGGGACGATCGATGAGAGACGCTCTAAAAATAACTTCTAATAGCTCAAGCATCCTTAGCAGATTCCATCGACTTCTTTCACTTAGCACTTTGAAGCATCTCTTCAGCTCCGTTAAGGAAGGATTAGAGCCCTATCAGCCCTTCTTCCACTTTGTTGGCATCGGTAGTATGTTACTAGACAGTTACAGTTGACACAGTGTCTGACCCCTTCCATCAAATTGTCAGTTATTTTCCCCTGTCAATGTCCACACCTACTATCTCCATTAAAATATAACTCGATCTTCGCTATTAGTTCACCACCCAAGTGCCAACGACATAGTATCGCTTAACTATTTTTATTAGGGTTTCAATGTTTACCATATGCATATTGCTTGGCTCCCTGTATTAAAGGATCAATTTATGATTAGCGAATCTCTTACCAACCATCAACCATAATCAAAATTCCACCCATCCCCTTACTATTATCGGGTCTCCTCCCGGGTGCTACTTTCATAAGATCTTTTCAAAATATTCTTTGATGCAAGAGGTAATTGATCTTCTTTAGTCATGAGTAGTTTGAGGGGAGAATGATCTTTAATCATAACTTTCCTATACAAAGAGAGGCACCTGAACTTAATAGGGGTTGCTATTTATCTAAAATAGTGAAATGTCTCTAATATTAGAAGAAGTGGGGAATAAATAAAGGGGGGGGGGGGGGTATTTATAGGTGCAAGGGGCGGCCTCATACAAAAAACAAATATGTAAAGGGGGGGCGGTGTACACGTCCCCATCCACACACGAAATGGTCCCTCACTCGTATACGATGGCCTATCGAGGCCACCGGTGGCTGGCCGGTTTGGTTTCCAAGCCTTGTTAGGGCCCGATTTTAGCCTGGACGATCCAATTTGGTCGTTTTTTAGGTCCTCAAAACCATTTTTTGATACTTTTAGAGCTTAAAAAACCCCCTACAATACATTTTGAGCAATTTTAAGAGTTTTGATATTCAAATTTTGGATATTTTTCACTCCAATTAAAGTACAAACTTCAAGAAATATTAAAATTATGATTAAATACACTTTGTATAGCTCCCGACCTTGAGGGAGGACCATATTGAAGTACGTGTGGTGATTGTGCCTCGTGATTTATCTAAAAAGTATAAATTTTAATCAAATGAAGTTTGAAAGATTCATATACACATTTTTTGACACTGAGATTCAACATTTGAAAATTATGGGAAAACTAATACATCATAAAAAACTACATTGATCTAGCACGAATATCAAGTCACACCCAAGTTGGAAACTTCTAAATTAAAATTTGGGATCATCCAAACTTTGATTTTAGCAAGCTTTTAATCAAATTAAATATCTCAAAAAGGCAAACCCAATGCACCAAATGCAGTGTAATCCAAACCTAAATGAGCTCAAATCGAAGGATCAAAACACTCTTGGAAACTTCAAAATATTAATTAGATGACCAAATAATATCCAAATATGACATGCTTAAAGTCAAATCTAGCGACTCAATGAGACAAATCCAACAAGCTCAAGATCATTGAATTCTAACATCATCAAGTCACTTAAATGCTCAGTAAATACTCTATGATAAAGGAAAATCACTATGAGGCGTCTGATAAAATACTCCAAATCTACTCCGAATCTTCTTAATATTTACTAAGGATGTCACTCTAAAAAAAGTATAAATAAACCTCCTTCCCCCATTCTTCACATGAAAGAGGAGAGGGAGGAGAAAGAAGAGAAGAGCTCTAGGGCTTAAATAATGCTAGAGCTCCACCCTGGCACCACCATCAATGAATCTACACCACCAAATGGTCGCTACTGAATCTCCTCCAGTCCATCGCTGTCAAACCTTCATCTAGCAACCATTGAAGAACCTTCTCTAATTACTATCACCCACCAACTACAGGCTTACGATCTCTATTGTCCACCGACTACTGTCTCTCTGATTACCATCCCTCGACTTCAGTCCTTCTGACCTCCATCGTATAATAGAATGTATTTTGATCCAATTAAATCATTATTAAATTATATAAGTCCAAATCACATATTGTCTTCATTATAGCCATGGTAATATATATGGTTTAAATTATATAATTTATTTTTGTTATTTATTGCCAATAAAAAAATTAGGTAGCTCTAGTTGTTGTTTATTAAAAGATAAAAGAATAACTCTAATAAATTAAATTCAGGGGCATCACAATTGGTATCAGAGCAATATAGTTGGAAGAATTGAATTGTTTCCCGAGCTATAGGGATTAATTATGAATCAAGTAGAATGATTAGTTTAAAGTGTATTATTTTGCATACATAATTGCATGTGTGTATTATTTAGATTATACTAAATAGTATAGGTGAACAATTTAATGGATTCTCCAAAGCCAAATTTACCAAATGAGCAGCACAGTGCAGCTCTAGTGCCATCAGACAATGTTATGCACTTAGCCATGTTATAGCACAGGTAATGGGGGATGCGCATAGTAAGTTAACTAGCAGCAAAGAAAAAGAGGAAGATAAGCATTTACATATATTTCATAAGCTAAAGCCTCAGTTGTTCAAATGAGCT